GTGAGGTCACATGGTGGGCCCTCAGCCCCATAGGACGGTGTCCTGGCTGGAAGAGGAAGAGACTGCAGGGTTCTGCCTGCCCACGGGCACTGAGGGAAGGCCGGGTGAGGACACAGCGAGAAGGCAGCCAGCTGTCCGCAGCCAGGAAGAGGGCTTCCCGCCCCCAGGTCTGCCAGCACCTGCATCTCGACTTCCAGCCTCCAGAACTGGGAGCAAATGATGCGTTTTAAGCACCCCCTGCCCCTCCATGCTGTTGTGTTAGGGCTGTTGTGGTAAGGCATCTATCAGCCAATATTTGGTTACATAAATGACAGCAAATGCATGAAACTGGAGAGCTATGGAGACTTTGAGAAGAAACGGGGAAGAGCCACGTGTGGTGCTGTGGAAAGATGTCCCAACTTTATTGTGAGATAAAAAATAAACTGAGTGGTCAGTGCCCGGGCAGCAAGATCTGAAGAGATCACGGTTACCATGAGGGACAGGTGGATCATTGGAAGAACGAGTTACGTTCTAGGGCAGTGGTTCTCAACCTTGGCTGCACATTAGAATCACCTGGGAATCTTTTCAAAATCCTCATTTCTGGGCCTCACCCTCCGGAAATTCTGTTTCTTTGTAACTAATGTTGTGGACTCACCCCATAACAAAGAAACAGAATTTCCGGAGGATGAGGCCCAGAAATCAGGATTTTAAAAACATTCCCAGGTGATTCTAATGTGCAGCCAAGGTTGAGAACTACTGTTCTAAGGGGAAGTTTCTTTTTTCTTTTTTTCTAAAAGTTGTACATGTATATAATTTTTATGTTTTAAAAAAGAGCAGGGCTTTTAGATTTGTAAATATACAAATTAAAGACTCAAGAAAAACAAACCCATGTTTACTGGGACTTCCCCAGTCTTCAAAGGCAATCAGCACCCCCAAGTTTGCCTGTAAATCAGGACTTTTATAGCAAGAAGAGCCTGGGTTTCATCCGAGTAAGAAACCTACGTGACGGAGACCTGCTCTTTCCCCTCCCCGTATTTTACTGTTAACATTCTCAGACACACATAAAAGTGAATCCCTGCATGCCCGCTACGTAGTGTCCACGATTAACATCTTGCTAGTCTTGCTTTATCACATATGTACCCACTGCTCCACTCATCAATTTTTTTATATATACTTCATTGTAAATTGCTGGCACCAGTCTACTTCCCCCTAAATATTTCCATATGCATCACATGCAAACTGCATTTGAATATCTAAATAATGAAAAAAACTTTCACAACCAGAAGAGACCACACACTTCATGTTAGACTAGGAAGGGTGGGGGTGCTTAGAAAGAACTGGGGTTTGGGGGAACTTCAAAAGGGCTAATTAGATTTTGTTTGCCGCCTCGGTCCAGACTTCACGGAGAAAGAACGGGGAAGCACCCAAACATCAATATGTTTGTCATGAATCAAAACTGCAGTTTTAAAAAAATCAAAGTGAAAGCAGTACCTGGACACGTGCGCTGCTGTGAGCGTTTTCCAAGAGCCGTGAGGTGGGTGCCTCAGACGGGAGGTGCTGGCCTGGGGCTCCCCGCCGCGCCCTTCTGGGATGGGAACGCCCACCACGCAGCCTTTCAAGTATTCAGGTCCAGCCGTGGCTGTTTTCCCACAAATATTTGCGTGTGGATTTCCTTGAACATTCTCGATTTTTTCTCAAGCGTTGTTTTAACTACAGACACATCTCCCCGAGCAGCCCGACAAGGCTTTCATGTCACTGCCAGTCTATCACGTGTCCATCGGGCCTGAGAAGGCTAGCGCTTCATCTCCCAGGTCGTCCGAACAGGGTCCGAAAGCCCTGCCAACACCTTCCCCGGCAGATGGGCCCGCCCGCCAGCTGGCTTATGGGAAAGTACAGCGTTTTTCTCTGAAACCAGGGAGAACACGTGCCCCCTCTTGGGTGAGGGTGCCCAGCCGGCACTGCCGGGATCGCACTGAAGAACTTAAATACCGATACCCGACGTAGCCCAGGTTCTTCGTTGTGGAGGCCCCATTCCAGGGCCCCAGTGAACTGCAGCTGCTGGGTGCCTGGCCCTCACTGGGGAGTGTGGCGCTTACACAAACCTCCACAGTGGTCCTGGGGACATCCAAAATTCTAAAGGTTAAAACTGCCCAAGAAATCTGGAATAAATTGCGATGTGTAGAGTAAAAAAGAAACAAACAGACATCATTACAACACCTGCCACAAAGATGAGAAGATTTCGTTATTTTCCTACCTGGCCAGGATGTCCCCGCCCTCCACTGGTAACTACAGGAGATATCTGGGTGTCTGCAGGTCAGGTGTAGTTAAGAAAAATGAGAATCAAAGAGGAAAACAGTTTGTATGTCTTTTAAAGCGTATCTGTTCTAACTCCCATGCTCAGATTTTTTTCCTATTTAAAATTCAAGAATAAGTGAAAACCTAAATCCACCTAGACACCAGCGCTGGCTGGGTCATGGGATGGAGTCCCCGCACTGGGCATGGGATAAACCTCTCCATCCCCAGCACTCCAACCCCTCCTCGCCATTCACCAGTTTAAATGGCGCGGGAGTCAGCTTTCCGGAGTAAGTTCAGAATGACCGCCATGTCGGCCTGTCAGGAGAGGGGCTGCACAGAACCCAGGAGCCCGCACCCCGGGCACCGCTCACCTGGCATCACTTGCATCCGGACACCCGCCGGAGGTCACCAGGTCACAGCACCTCAGCTCTCAGGCTGCGTTAGGCCTGGAGGGCCAGTGAAAGGCCCCGCAGGGGGAGCTGGGTGATTCTCTGGTTAATTCTGTTTCCAGGTGAAACTCCTCCCAGCCCCATTTAAACAAAAAGTAGCAGGAATTCTTAATCTAAGACCATAATAGGCAGACATTTTCCAGCAAACAAACCAACAAACAGAAAATATGTATATCGTTCTGAGCAGATTCTCAGAGATTCCTGATCCCCAAGATTTCAGCATCTTTGTTCTGGAGGCTGTGCCCCATGTGGTCCTGAGGCTGCCCACCCAGGGCACCTGCAGCACTTCCTAAGCCGAACATCCTACCCTGCGGACCCCCCCCCCCCCCCCCCCCAAATATCTGCAGGCAACGCCTTGGCATTGCCCTGGGAGACAGTGTGAGTGCCCAGCTGGCCCATGTCTGAGTCTCGACCAGGAGCAGCAAGCGTTCAGGTGCTTCCACGTCCCGGCTGCCATGAATAACACAGCGGTGTTGTGAGAAGGGCGGATTAACCAAAGGTGGTGTACACACACGATGGCAAAGGGTTCAGTCTTCATAAAGAAGGAGGTTCTGCCATTTGAAACGACATGGACGAACGTTGAGGACGTGATGCTGAGGAGATAAGCCAGACACAGGAAGGTGAATACCGTATGATCTTGTTCCTGTGTGGAATCTGAAAAAAAGTTCAAACCATAGAAGCAGAATGGACTGGAGGCTGCCAGGGGCTGGAGGGTGGGGTGGAGGGCGTTGGTCAGAGGCTCAGTTAAGCAGCACAAGTACAAAGTGAGGGTCTGATGTATGTACAGTGTGGTGACTCTAATTAATAATTCTGAGCTGTATATTTGAAATTTGCTAAGAGAGTTATTACTACACACACACACACACACACACAGTGGGACCGATGTGAGGTGAAGGATGTGTTAATTTGATTGTGTGATCATTTCACAATGTATGTGGATAGCAAATCATCATGTTGTACCTTGAATATATACAATTAAATCATCATGTTGTACACCTTGAATATATACAATTTGTATCAGTCAAGTACACCCCAATACGGCTGGGAAATAAAATTAAAGAGAAAAAAGAAGAAATGTTCAGAAACCACAGCATTTTCTGCAGGTAAACTATAGTCTCTTTAGAAAACTCTCTGGTGGGGATGGGAGTGAAGAATGAAACAAAAGTCTCCCAAGGAAGGAACAAAGAAACTATTTGTTTGAAACTTTTTTTTCTCTTAAACATCGGTGTCTGGGAGTCAGGTTTAGATAACACCAAGATTGTAATAGGTCTTTAAATGTCGCATTCCAAGTGCGGACGTATTCTCTACCTTTATCCACTCTTATTTGAAAACCATGCCTGACATGTATAAAGATTAAAAGGAAGTCTGATTTCTGTTTATTGATCATTCACTTAATTACTGTTATACAGTAAGTTTAAACCCAGGTCTCCAGAGAAGTGTAACGGTTTGCATTCTCATTTGTTAAGAATGTAAACCTAATACTAGCTCATGTCCAACCCGATACCGTGATACCTTCATGTTATACTGTTTTCACAGCTTTTTAAATTCCAACAACACGTCTCCTGACTGAACCTCCTCATGTGATCCAGAGGGCTTCCCCCAAATTTCCTCTCACGGCTAAAGATCTGTCCACGTGAATTCCTTTTATATCGGTGTTTTAATTGAACACTAAAAAAGTAACAGTTCGTGAAATACAAGATTTAGTGTGGCACATAAAAACATAAAATGACAATAATAAAAAAACTCTCACTCACATAAATTAAGCCAAAGCCCTAAAAATTCAGCTTATGAAGATCATATATTCTGCCGTTGATTTTCCATTTTCAGCCCCAAAATGCAATAAATTACAAAGTATGAGCGTGGGCATGGTGCCGCTCAGACACATTCATTCTCCCCCTGAAACATCTCGGCCGTTTCTTATCATATTTGTCTTTCCAAATCTTTATTAACTCCACCAAAAGAGCTTATTGAAGGCCTACCTTCACTGTGACCCCAGGGGCTTGCAGCCAGTAAAAAACAAAACAAATTAGAACTCTGCTATTCACATACATTCGGGGAAAATCAATAGTTTTAATTTTCACATTGAGGCCCACAATTTTCCACTGACGGCCTCAGCAGGTTTTAATGGACACAAACAATTTACTTTTACTGTTTTAATTGTTCTTAGTCAATCGCTTTTTATTGCCCTTTACATCTGACTAAACAAATGAATCGAGCTGGATTCATAAATGATGACTTGGTAACATGGCTGGTTCTGTGTATTTTACTATTTGAGTCTCAGTTGCAGGCGGCGTTAGGAAAGAGCGGGCCGAAGAGGTGGTGCTGGGCATTAAGGCAGAAAACAGGAATCAGTCAGGAGTGAAAGGACAGAACAGTGACTCCGGAAGGTGAGGGAAGCGGCAGGGGGTTCCGGAACCTTCTCCTACCTGAATGCCAAGTGCCACCCAGCGGTCCCCTGGGGGGAGGTGAGAGTTTCCGGTTGCTGGGAGCCTGGAGAGGAGGTGCGGTGAGCTAACTAGGTGCACAGGCTGCTGGGACGTGACCCGCTGTGTCTGGAATCAGGAAGACCCACTCCAGCGGCAAGCTGGCACCGCCAACGGGCATTTGGGGCACCTCTACGTCTAGCAGACAGACCCTTCTCACCAAGCTGCCTCCAAAGTGCCTTCTCACTGTGGAAAGCCACAGCTCCCTGGTGTCTCACTCGAGTCTGGCTGGATCCCAGGGGGTTTGACTTTTGCAAGTTCAATTCCATGCAACGGAAATAAACAAGAGGGGGGATGGACGGGTGGGAAGGGGCATCGGAGAAACAGCGTGGATGGCTGTGCCTGTGTCCCCGGGATGAGCACGTGTCCTCCAGGGACCGGGACTGGAAATGGGACTCAGCTGCCCCCCCAGTGGCTCTGAGCCGAACCGATTCGCAACCACGCCAGGTGCTCAGTGAAGCAGCACAGGCCCCAGCGGAATTAGATTACGGGAAGGGTCCTGCTGTCGCAGGTTAAAGAAGTAACTTTCCTTCTCCGAGACCTGGGTTCAAACCTCCCCGAGGCCACAAGAGGAACAGGTGTTGTGGCCGAGTCCCTCCCACAATTGTCAACACGGGCAGGAGTGGGATGCTTCTTAGGCCAGTAACGAAAGACAGTGGTTAATCACAGCCGAGGACCGATGGGAGGCCAGGCTGCAGGGGACACTGGTTAGGAGCGGATTTCGCTCCGATCCTGGGGGCTCATTAATGAGCCACATTTCTTCGTCTCCTTGAGTTTCCTGTTATTCATAAAATGATGATTTCTGAGGTCTCTTCCTATTTCTTTCAGGAGTTGATTTGTTAAATTAGATTGGGGGCGAGGAAACCCTCTCATTGCATTGCAAATTATGACCAAACGTTAGTTACATGACAAAGGGATTTAAAAACAAGTCGGGCGTGGGAGAATCTGGCCTTGGACGGACACGTATGTTGGTTTTATCTCCCTCCACACCGTCATGAGCGGCACAGGGGACCCCCTCATCCAGAGGCTCACGGGGAGCACTGGTGAGCAGCCCCTCTGCTTGACCCTGAAGCTGCCTGCTTGTGAGGTGGGAGCTGTGTTCTTCCGGCCGTGTACCCCTCCCCCATCTTTAATGAGAGCAGGAGGGGAGGGAGCAAAGCTATTTCCCTAAAGACCCGCTATGTGCCTGGCAGCGCTTTATCGTTCATCCGAGGGGTGTCTGTTCCCTGGGAGACAGGGCATGCTCCAAGAGGCTGGGAGGGCGCTGCTGCTGGAGGCTCTCCTGGAGATGTGGAAACCAGGCCCGGCACTCCAGCTGTGGGAGCTGCGCTCTGGAGGGCTGAGCAGGTAATGGATTAGCTCTGCAGGGCCGGTTCTGGAAGAAGTGATGGGCGGACGGCTTAACTGTGAGCGTGCGTATTCCAGTGCCTTATCTTCACCAAGTGGTTCTATTGCCAGTGTGACGACGAGGCTCCTTGGCCCCAAAGGAGAGGAGTTTGGGTTGGAAGAGGAGTTTGGGAGGAATCTATGCCGGAGATGCGTGGCATCATGGCAAAGGATGCCCCTCGTCACCCAGTCTCTATTTTTTGTCTTCTCAGTAGGTGCCACAGCTGGAATGTGGTGAGCAGGGAGCAAGGCATAGCTCACTGATGATGTAGGAACCGGAAAGATAGCGGTGTTGAAGCCCACCCACTTTGGTGACCCTGGCCCTCCTATGGAAATGTTGTGTGATTTTCAGACGCACCTTAAAAATGGGAAGGGGGGCCTCCTTGCCACCGACATGAATGACCACCGCCAGGCAGGGATGGTGGCAGTCCACCAGAGGTTTCATCGTGAACATGACCCTGACCACTAAACGTGTTCATAATTATTCCTGTTTGTAGGAGACAGGGCCAGGTGGAGGCTTTCCGCGAGACAGACTGCCGGCAAGCAGGGTTACACCGTGAGTTTGACCTTGGTTTTATAGCGGCCTTTTGGTTCCAGGCAGAAGGAAGGGTTTAATGATCTGAGAAGCAGCAGGTAATACATTGAAGGGAAAAAAATCAACACTGCAAAGGGCTTTTATTTTAGAGGCACCACTTCAAAAATGAGAAATCACTTCAAAACATATCAAATAGAAAATAATTTATTTCAACTTCATTTTCCTTGATGTTGGTGAGTAGTAATCATGACTTTGTGAACTTGCCTGTAAAAAGAGTCTGTCCCGTCAAATCTACACAGAAAAAGGTCTGTGAGGAGCGCACTTAAAAAGTCCACACACCGTCTCCATCCGCGACCCCCTGTGGGCGCACATTCTCCCCACCGGCTGCAATATTTGCAAACATGCTCTAATCTTCCATAAAGCGGCACAATACTTAGCCTTCTGCTGACACCTTTACGCTCGCTTGGGAACTTGAACCAGAAACATGTTTACAGTTGAAACATACACTTAAACACGGCTGGGTTGGTTCTGTGTAGTCCATCATGAACCGGTTTGGTGGTTTTGAGCTGAAGCCCCGACCTAAATAATATATTAATGGTCACTCATAGGAAACACGTTCAGGAAAGTAGCATTATAAAATAGGGATCCATTAGAAATACATAATGGGAGCTGTATTTTCGGCAGGAAAGAAAGCACGTGTAACTTTTTCCGTATGAATATAGTTTCAACACATTATCCTGTGAAGGTATGCTTAAAAAGATCTTTTTGAAATTTAAACACTTTACGTAAAAGGTAACAAAGTAAAAAAGTACCCTCGCTATCTGAGAAAGGCCCTGGTTGTCAGTACTGCCTCCCAACATAGTCCCGGGTGGCTTTTCTCCACTTAAAATAGAGCCCTGCCCCCGGAAGTGCAGAGTGGACTATAAACATGACCTTGTTATCTTACATACAGAGACCTGCCGCATTGAACGAGGCAGGGTTTTCTACCCCAACGGTTACCGAGAGGAAGGAGTTGTACACTCTAGTGCCATCTGGGGACTTGGTGCCGTGGGTCAGGAGCTCCTGGATCGTCATCCAGTTATCCAGAATCTTCTTGTTCCTCTTCTTCATCATCTTCTTGTGGCTCAGCTCCAGGATGCTCAC